GGTTGAGTCGTAGGCTCGTAGCAAATATACACAACAAATTAAGTACTGGAATAAGACAAAATGCACAGTATTACACAGAGGAAGTGGAGATAAAGCAGGAATAGACGGGATGGCTGGCTGTACCTTTATGCGCGTTTCAAAGGCTAGCTGGCTTCTCCCACGATTTGCGCTTATGCTTAGTGGCTCCTGGACTTCCGGTTGCTGCTGTTACTGCTGTGCTTTTGTAGAACCTCTCGACCTTGCGACTTATTTCCTGGTTCGTTACAGACGTTGAACCGTCGGTTGCAACAGTCGCTGATTCTTCTAGCGTATTATCCGGCGAAAAAGGTCCAAATGTTCCGCGCGTTATGCGTACTCTTCAATAAAGCTCAGTTGTTTACTTCAATAATGCGTATATTGCGAATATAATTACAAATAAAATAAATAAATGAAAATTGCGAAAGAAAATTGAGCGTACAAAATTTGAATTGCGTAGAGAGTGAAGTGAAGAGGGGGGTTTTTTGATCACGTGGGTCAAAGCTGCTTCTACTGGTGGAAATGGAGCGACGTTCCGGTGTAGGCAGAACTTTTTACTCAAGCGTCAACAACGCTTTTAAATAAAAATGCTAAAAATGAACATGGTGGTGTAGGTATTTTATTGAAAAACTCCATAAACTTTAATGAATTATCAATTCCTTTCTATGAAGACATCCAGTGCATTGCAATTTCTCTTCAAACTCATAGAGGCCCTCTTTCCATTTTATGTGTTTACTGTCCTCCTGGAAATGAAAATAGAACAAGGTTTAGAAAACTTGAAAATATCATTAGAAACCTTCCAAAGCCCTGTTTAATTTCGGGTGATTTCAATGCCCATCATATAGCGTTTGGTTCTCTGAGTACAAACTCCAGAGGCAGACAACTGTTTGAAATATTTGATGACAATGATTTATGTATTTTAAACACTGGTGAGCACACAACTGTTCAGTCGCCCACTAGAAATAGCTCTGCTATTGATGTAAGTTCTATAAGCCCAGGTCTTGCTCCTTTATGTGAATGGCGAGTGGGTAATGACCCACTAGGTAGTTTGCATTATCCTACATTCATTGATATTAAAATATCTCCATCATTATATCAAGTTAATGAAAATATTGAAAAGTTCCTTTACAAGAAAGCTGATTGGTTAAAATATTATAGTAAATCTGAAGAATACTTTAAAGATTTTGCTGTTAATACTGACAATCCCATTATAACATATGACAACTTTTGCTTAATTTTAGATATGCTTAGAAATGAATGCATACCTGTATATAAAAGTAGGGACGGTCAGAAAATCCACAGACCAGCTCCTTGGTGGAATTCCAGATGTGCTAATGTTGTCCAAGACTCTCATAAAGCCCTGCAAACATACAGAAATAATGGTACATTAGAGAGCTACATTAATTATAAAAAACTGGATGCTTTGAAAAAGCGTATATTAAAAGAGGAAAAAAAGACCAGCTGGCATAATTTATGTCACTCTTTTAATAGATACACTCCCATTACTCGCATATGGAATTTCATCAGAAGGTTTAAAGGTATAAATTCTAAATTTAGTTCCAAAAGAGATGAATGGATACCAAATTTCATAGATAAATTCTCAGAACCAGCTAACCACAATGAAAGTATCACACATATTTTTGAATCTAATAACCACAGATCAGAAACACAATTCTTATTAGAACCCTTCCAGTGGGATGAATTTGTAGTAGCCATTAGTTCAAGAAAAGATTCTGCACCTGGTTTAGACAACATTCCATACATAATGATTAAAAATCTTCACAAATCTGCTAAATTAATTCTCTTACAAATTTACAATTTATTATGGCAAAACCAACAAATTCCCATTTCTTGGAAAAGCCAATGTTTAATACCAATCTTAAAACCTGATAAACCAGCCAATCATCATAATTCATATAGACCAATATCATTATCTTCTTGTATGGGCAAACTTTTCGAACATATGATAAAAACACGTTTAGACTATTTTGTAGAAACCCACAATCTCTTACCAGTTAATCAATTTGGCTTTCGACGTGGTCGAAGTGCTGCAGAAAGCTTTGTGACCTTTCTGGCTGATATTAAAAAATGTATGTTAGGTCGTAGCAATGCATTGTGTGTCTTCTTAGATGTACAGGGTGCTTATGACAATGTCTGTCTACACAAGCTTTGTCATGTCTTGGCTGATATTGGTATTCCTGGAAAATTAATAGAATGGATTTTTAATCTCTTTTTTAACAGAACAGTTCATGTTAAATTTAATAATATTTTACATGGCCCTAAAAAATCATTTAAGGGTCTTATGCAGGGAGCCTGTTTATCTCCTATTTTGTACAATTTATATTCCTCTAGATTAATGCACAGAATTACTAGTAATATTAAGATTCTGCAATTTGCAGATGATTTGCTTCTGTATAGTGTGAATAGAAATATTGGTTTAGCCCAATCAAAACTCAATTTAGCTTTACAACAACTACAAACATACTATGAGAATGAGCTCAAATTGAGTATAAATACATCCAAAAGTCATGTTATGGTTTTTGGTGTCATGATTTTAATGTTGATATAAAATATGATAACATCAGAATTCCTACCACAAATAATCATAAATTTTTAGGTGTTATCATTGACACGAAATTAAAATTTGAACAGCACATAAATTATGTGATTAAAAATGCGCTTAGGGGTATAAACTTGTTACGTTGTTTAGCAGGAGTTTCTTGGGGTGCTGATCCCAGAATTCTGTCCACACTATACAAAAGTATAGTACGCAGTCATTTTGACTACAGTTGTTTGGCTTGCATGAACTCTAGTTCAACATTACTTAAAAAATTAGATGTTGTACAAAACATTGCATTAAGAATTATCACTGGTGCCATGAGAACTACTCCAATAAATGCCCTGGAAATCGAAGCATGCATACCTCCATTGTCATTAAGACGATTCTTTCTTGCCCAAAAATTCTGCATTAAGGTCATTTTTTCAAATAAATCACTTGTAAAGAATATCTTGACACTTCCTCCAATAATGGCAGCAAATGTAGATGGTCCGATTGTAACTGCAAATTCTATAATACATGGATTATCACCAGAGATGTGTTCAATTATGACAAAAGTGCAAAACAGTTGTGTAAATATGTATATATGTACTGATAATATTTGGCCCTTATATAAATGTAACTTTAAAGCACTTTTTCTACAGAGTTCTATTCACTTGCCTAACATTACTGATAATTTTGATTATTTAGATTTTGTACAGGATAAAACCAATTCATATAAGATTTTTACTGATGGCTCTAAGTGTGAAAAATGGGTTAGATCTGGTTTTTTTGACCCACAGGCTAAAATTTGTAAGGTGTTTGATTTAAATAGAACTGCCTGTGTTTTTACAGCAGACGCTTATGCTATCCTGCAGGCCTCAAAGTACATGAAAACTGTAAATAATTATAATGATTTTTTAATTGTCAGTGACTGTAAAAGCATCCTTTTAGCTTTATTAGGATGCCGTGTAGACTTTAAGTTAAACTATGTAGTGTATAGTATTAAGGACCTATTATATGAAATAAGTAATACAGGAAAGAAGGTGGAATTTACTTGGGTACCCTCCCACAGAGGTATTACAGGGAATGAGATTATTGATAAAGCTCTCTCTGCTGGATATGATGAGGATCACACTGAACAATTTAAAGTTCCATTCACTGACTATTACCAAGGTTTAGCAGAAAATATTAGAAGCATATGGTCAACTTATTGGGATACCATTAAAGAGACTAAAGGAAGTTGGTATGCTAGTGTTCAAAAAAACTATGCCAGTAAAACCTTGGTACAATTTAAGAATTGGTGACTCAAGAAAATTTATAACTACAGTGAACAGGTTACGGTTTGGCCATTGCTTAGTGCCTAGTCACCTTTACAGGCTGAAAATAAGAACTGATAATCGGTGCCCACATTGTCATCAAGAGAATGCGGATATTGAACATTTAATCTTTTCCTGCTCTGCTTTTGGGATCCAGAGATTGTTACTTGTCAGCCAACTTGAAAGTATCTCCGAAGAATTGCAACGAAGTGTTCCCCGCCTCATTATAGACATTCTATCGGAACCAAGTTTTTTCCCACCTGTTTTCCAGTTTGTGTGTAATACTGTAAATAGTTTAGGTGATTTTAATTTCATAAACAAGTTAGTAGTAGGTAAGTTGTAGGTTAGATGTTTTTTTTTTTTAATTTGTTATTGAAAGTTGACTTGCGTTTCGTTTTCATTCTTTTTTTGGTTTATGTTATACCTATATAAGATATGTAATGCATTGTATTTGTTTGCTAATTTTAATATTTTACACTCCTATTTCTGTTTCGTTACATTTATGTTATATGTTTAAATGATTTCGGCTAAAGGACAAAGTATCCACGGCCAGAATAAATTAAAAAAAAAAAAAAAGTTATTTCAAAATAACATAACACAACTAAAAAATACGAAATATCTTAGATTAAATGAAAAAGGGAAGATACGGCTATGACTTGAGTCGCAAAAGTGAATCGCTTTTAATTGTCTCGCAGATACTTATACCTATTATTGGTCGCTCGTGTTTCACCACTCGCTTACATTGCAAGCGAATATAACTAGCCGTCAATCCACGGCTGGATCCACGGCTCCACGGCGGCATGGAGCCGTAAGCCGCGTCTGTCTGTGAGACACTTAGTGCCACAACGCACGTATGAAATAAATAGGTAGGTAGTATGAAATGTATATAAAGAAAAAAACATAATCATATGTTTTCAACCATAAACAACCGCCGTTTATTGTCGATCAGCGAAAAAAGCGGTTGTTATCGGCTAGCCGAAAACGATAACAACCGCCTTTACATCTATAGTTCTAGCTATAATTTTTTTAAAGTTAGTCGTTGCTACAATGGCGAAGACATCTTAAAGGAAAAAAGTTAGTCATTCATTATCTATTTGGACAACATCATAACATTCGATTTTATATTACAGTGTGTGCAGTTCCATCCCAATTCAAATTATGTGGCCACTGGATCTAGTGACAGGACAGTTCGCTTATGGGATTGCTCTACTGGAGCGCAAGTTAGGCTCATGACTGGCCATAAGGTAACTCATCACCGTCATATAACTTACACATTATAATATAAAATTAATATAATGCGATTCAACTAAGAATAGGACCGACTGGGCGCCATATTGTGATGTCATAGCTGTCAATTCAAACCAAATAGGTAGAGTGAGTAAAAATAAGTTTTTATTTAATAAAACCTATTTACTAAGATTAAGTGAGAAAAAGCATCAATCAAATGGCCGTACTCAGACATCAAATTTTAATATCATTGTAAGTCACATACCTACTGTTTAAATTATGAAATTAGTATAATTTCATTGCAATGAAATATACTGCACCAACTATAATCACACTGAAAACTTAATGCACGTTTCTAAGTGCGGCCATAAAACAATATCTATGTCTTTCTTTGTAAGAAATACATAATAACTACATACATTACAAAAAAGTTCCTTTGTATTGTATGTATGTAGGTATTGTGTATTTCTTATTCAGGTTCGTGTTTGCTTTTTTTATTTCTCGCTAAATTTGGAATCGCCGACACCACCTAGTTTGGCTGGACGAGATCTTTTCAAGATAGATAACAATTGTACAATTTTCATGCAATAAAAAGTAGAATATGTTTTAGTCGACGATCTTCACGGTTGCGTTTTCGATGTGTGGTCGATGGCTGGCGTCCGGTGGCGCGAGCGGCGAGCTCATGGTGTGGGACTTGTCCGTGGGCGCTGTGGCCGCCACGCTGCCGCCCTCACACACCGCGCCCATACACGCGCTCGCCTTCAGCCGCGACGGAACCGTCCTGTGTTCAGGTAACGTTCTCGGTGCGAGGCCGATATCTAGCGTCCGGCGAGCTCATGGTGTGGGACTTGTCTGTGGGCGCTGTGGCCGCCACGCTGCTGCCCTCACACACCGCGCCCATACACGCGCTCGCCTTCAGCCGCGACGGAACCGTCCTGTGATCAGGTAACATTCTCGATGCAGGGCCGATGCACAATGGAAAATGGTAGAACAACGGCATATCAAAAATCGGTTTTACTAATGTCGTTACTGACGCACTTTAATTTTTTGTTATAATGGTATAAGAGTGGAACTAATATGTAATGTATTAATTTTGGTTGAAATAAATTTGGAATATTTTTGTTTTAATACGACAAAGTTTCAATTCGAAAAATGTTTAATTCAGGTCTGTCCGCTTCATAATTTTAAAATTGATTTCTTTCAAAAATTTATGCGAATAGATATGTGTTATACATTTCTTAAAAAAGCCCATTGTATAATATTGTAGGTATTATAGTAATTTTTTTAATAAAAAAATTACAACTAGTGAGGCGAAAAATAAAGTTTTTCATCTTTTGATAGTTACCGACGTCTCCCGACGCTTTACATTTGATGTTGTTGTGTAGCGAAAGTATTCATAAATAACATAATATCCAAATCAGCTGAGGAAACGGAAAACGGCTATCTATTGTGGTTGATTATTTTATTTATAAGTGATATTTAAATTTATTACTAGTTATTTATTGATAATAGAGCGTTCTATCTACATTTTGCGGTACAACTTTAATCAACAGAATGCACACTACCCTTATTTATCAAACAATATATAAAGCAATAAACAATATATTATATAAACAATATATAACGTACTCCTTCCTTAAAGGCCGGCATCGCATTTGTGATACTCCTGGTGTTGCAAGTGTCCATGGGCGACGTTGGTCACTTACCATCAGGTGAACCGTCTGCTCGTATGCCCCCTATAACATAAAAAAAAGCGTGGAATCATTTTATATAGATTTTAAAAGTTCGTAATAAAACTAAACAGACGTTTGAGTGTCAAGTATTTTCACCGAATTTCAAAATGACTACTACTTTTAAGTGTTCGAAGCGTGTATTATATTACTTTCATACATTGAAGGAGAAGGAAAACTTGAATCTCTATCAACAGTTTTAAAAGAAGACTATCATGTTTCTGAAGAATGCTTTATATAGTGATATTCAAAGGAATCTTATTCCTAGCTTTAATAGACGATGGGCAGAAGCGTTGAAGTAAAATGATGTATTTTATAAAAAAGAACAACAATTTGTTGAATCCGAGTATTTGGTAACTTTACCGGATTCGGAAGAACTAGAACCTGCTTTCACGCCAAATAGCAAATATTTTTTCTAATATTAATTTTCCTTAAAAATTAGTATTTTGTAACTTTCATATTTTGTAAAATAAATATTTGTTATCTTAACTTTTAATTGAGGCGGGCAGCGCAAGTGACCTAACCGTTATATTCTGATTCATCTTCTACAATTAAATAAAAATGTGTTAAAAGGAGATTGCTCAGCTTCCATACATGTTTGGCCTAAAAACCAATAACCATGAAAAATTGTTTCCTACATTCGAAATTATATATAAATTACCGTAGAAACGAATATTATCGACGGCCACTCCTGAGAACTTCTATAAACCATATACACTGAATGATTTTGAGGTTATGTTTGCAAATTGGCACATAGGTATTAGAATAATAAAAACCAAATAACTTATATAGGAAAATAGGGCAATCAAGCCAAGTACTGATATTATGTATTAGATTCAGGTATATAGAGCATGTAAAATAACAGATATGTGCATGTTTTTAAAATTAATGCACAAGAGTAAGTTTTAAAATCATGATTATGCCATTGCGACTTTCAGAAGCAATCTTGTTTCATTTGACAAGTGTCTAACACTAATTACACTAACAAAATGCATGTCAAGGAACTGGTACCTGCTTACCTATGTTATGAGAAACATGGAACTGTTATCATAATTTTATAAAAACCAATAGGATATTTTCTTAGTAATAATTAGGTTTTTAATGGTAAAAGGTAATTCTAATGTAATAATATATTGCGTAGGTTCATGATAGTTCTGATCAATGTGTGAAATATGTATATTCCTGACATAGCTTAAATATTCTGATAAGGTAAATTAATGAAATAAAACAACTTAAGTACTTTTATGTTGCGTTTAATATTACATATCATCTACATTTTGGATTTATATTTTCTTGGTATCTGGCCCAGCTCAAATACCAAATTATTGTCATCACATGAGCGCAGCAACCTACAGTTCTGCGCCCAACAACACAATTACAACAATAACGGCATAGACGGCAATACGGCAATAGACTTTATGATGTCGCCTACCATCTATATTAATTGTCTTAGCACATTTTCATGTAGTAAAAATGATAATAAAGTTGTGGATATTAATACCACAGTGTAATAAAAAAAAAATTATCAATCTTTACAAAATAGATTTGTTTTGATGTTATATAAACAACCTCGATCAGTCTTTGTGAATGTTACTACACCCATAGCCAATAAAAATGATTCGTATGTTTTCCAAACCGGTAAAAATAGAAGTCCTTTTTTAAAATTAATATATTATTTAAAGGTGGCCGTTAAAATCTAATGACTGTAAAATAAAGTATAAATTACGCCAAGAATTACTGTATAAGTCAATATTTTATTTGTATTTAGGCCAATTTGACCAATCTCCTTTAATTCAAAATCTTCCTATCTTTTGTTTCACCAGGCATCAATAGATGGCGTTGCAAACGTTCTTTTTGCATTGTTTTTTTTCTCTCAAACTAACTTCATAAGCGGCCTTAGCTGCTTAATCAGAATATGAATAATTGAGGGTTATATATATATATATATCATCATCATCATCAGCCTATTAATGTCCCCACTGCTGGGGCACAGGCCTTCCCTATGGATGGAATAGGGAGATTGGGCCATGACCCACCACGCGCCCCAGTGCGGATTGGTGGGTGCTAACGACTGCAGATGCAGCCGGGACCAACGGCTTAACGTGCCTTCCTAAGCACGGAGGAGCTCGAGATAATAAATTTTTGGTCACCCATCCAAAGACCGACCACTGCGAAAGTTGCTGAACTTCAGCGACCGCAGCCGAACGCGCTAACTACTTGCGCCATCGAGCTCCTCTTTATATATATATTTACTTAAATAAAGGTTTTGTATTTGAACTTTATCTATGCTTGACCAAAAACAACTGTCTTTCTTTACAAATAAAAAAGTTATAGATTTTTGATCTGAAACACGCCTTGATTTTCTATAGTGCGATGGCTAGTAACTACTGCAGCTCTAATAGCACATTTAAAATTACGCACAGTCAAAGGAATAAGTCTTCTGCCTATAGCTACAAGTTGTAAAATTTTACGAGCTAGCATTTCAAACTGTCATAACTATATGACGCATGCGCCTAAGTTATAACCTTTTAAACTATGTATGTAATAAAGGTGATTTGTAATGTCTAAATAATTTTTAGCCTTATATTTTTATACTATGCGATCATCTAACGGATCTCCGTGGAAATATCGTCAAAACGAATCGTCCAATGTTAATTTGGACAGGTTTCGGCCACGATTTTGTTAGTGTTGTTGTATCTAGGGTATTAAATATCGTTGCTTGACCGCTGTAAAGTCGACACTCCCATCTTCCATGGTCTGCGGGACGCGAGAGGGGGATGCGCTCCACCAATCAATCAGTAGCCTGTCGGCTGCCGACAGCGATAGACGTTCAACGTCAGTGCTCGCACGGTTGTAGCATTGTCTCTGCTTCATGAGATTAATTTACGGCTTTTGCATACAACAAACATGTAATTACCTAGTCTACGCAATAAAAACTTAAGAAGTCAAGCAAAGATTATGCTATTAATATGACGAATTAAATAAATGTATTATTTTATATTTAAATATATTTTCCCTTGTTACAATATTGATGGCAAGACTAGGTATTACATTGAAATTAATGTAGGTAATACGGAGTCAAAGTCTATTTTTTATGAGTAATAAATTACTACACTAATTCATTCATCAAACTTATACAAACACTAACACTTTTGAAATAACAACACATAGATTTAAATATCACCATTAGGAGGGTCAGCTTTACGGCGGTCAAGATAAAAATATAGTAGCACTTTTTGCTTCCTTAAAATTTATGAAAACGGTTTTGATTACATGTACACATTTTGTTTTGCAGGATCACTGGATTGCAATATTAAATTATGGGATTTCACAGCTATTACTGATGAAGCAACTGGTGAAGAACCAGGAAGTAACAATGGACCTAAAGAAGATAAATATCTGTTGAGATCATTCCCAACAAAAAATTCTCCTATCAAATGTCTACATTTTACACGTCGCAATTTACTACTAGCTGTAGGCACTTATGAGGGAAGCTCATAAGTGTTATCTCTGCAGATGCAAAGTCGGGAATATCGATACTTGTAATTTCAATTAACGTAAAGCACAAAACCCAACTTATCAAGAGAGCCAAAATAAGTTTTTTTTAAATTACATAAATTCATTACGCTTTTGTTTTTAAAGTTATAAAAAGGTGATGTAGACAAAATAGACTTAAAACCTTGAGATGCAAGAGTATTTATATGAACATAGTATGCAGGTGTAAAACTAATACAAAAAATATATAATCTTAAATGTATTATGAATTAAAGAACTTTTATTTGTTGTTTAGGTGGTGAAGCATACATAGCCTACAAGTCATTTTAAATAGCACGTGTTGTCAAGGGCTTCAAATAGTGAACTTACAAGTAAAGAATAGTCTAAAGAATAAATAGGCATATTTTTTGTTTAAGATATCTTATACACACTAGAATAGGCAATCATCAGCGTAGCACTAGGTTACTTTGGTGATATCGTCCAATGGAGAAAGCCCTTAGACAAACTTGGACTGGGTGAAGTAAATGGTAAAAGACGAAGAGGCCATTCACCTGCCTCTTGGTTAGACTAAATAAAGATATAACCGGATTCGGTCTACCGACGGCCCTAAGACAAGCCAAAGATAGTGGAATGGAGAGACCATGCCAACGTCTCGGTAAAGGCATTTTAGGAATGGTATTACCTTCAGGAATAAAGCTTTCAATAAAGAAGTTAATTAACAAAATAAATGATTTCTTAATCAAATATCTAAGTTGGTCAATTGATTCAGTAGGGAACTGAGGAGCCGTCAATATGTAATAGACAACAAACAGAATTTATCTAAATGATGTTTTTCTGGCAGAGAAGTCGTCCTTCACCCATATTCTGCTTACCAGACAAAAAGAATGTTAATGAAGTAATTTTTTAAAGAAAACAAATTGCAATTTTATTGCCTATGAAAATTGTTCGACATTTTTAATAATGTGTAAAAACATTTTTTTAAACAATTAAAAGTGTGGAAAAAATACAATTCATATAGTATTCTAAAACTATAGACGTAAAGCCTCCTGCGCCAATTTTCTAACAAAACATGTTCGTTACCAAATCAAGTTTTATGCAATCGCTATTAGCAAAACTGTTAGGCTATGCCACTAATTGGTTAGCAAACAATGTTATCGTGTTAGAAAACACGGCTCAGAAGACGCGGCTTACAGCCACTAATCGGTTAGCAAACAATATTATCGTGTTAGAAAACACAGTTTAGGAGACGCTGCCTACTTGCACCTAGCTCTGCAACAGTCTTATCTACCTTTGTTTAATGCTGCTATACCGACATTCAATGTTTGTCGAAATTTTTAACCTGTTATTGATTGAAATAGAGTTCAAATTGTTGTGATTTTTCTTAATAGGTTAGAGAATAAAATCAATGTTGGTACCTAAGGAACAAAATAATGTTATTTGTCTCGGGTATATGTTAGTAAGGTGGCGATTTTATTGACATTAACACTTAAACAGGTAACACAATACCTACTTTTAAAGATATTTATGCCCACAAAATTTAAGCAAGGTAAAGCACATAATTGATTAAATGTTTACAAAGTGATTAAAAACTTTGACTTAAATCACATTTAGCTTTATTTATAGTATATGGTTAATATATTTTTTATAAAAACAATATAAAATTATGACGTTCCTTACATTACATTTTCAGTATCCAAAACAATCAGAAAAAAAAGAGAAAAACAAATGAAGTAAGTTGGCATTCGTAGCTCATTTTGGTCAAAACATGCTTTATGTCAATTGAAATTACAGGTATTAAGATATTTACTTATCAACAAAATAATGCATTAAGTTAATGTGAACTCTTTTTCAAAAACTATGATTTTCTAATATAATTAATATAAGTAATAAATGTCATGAAGTAAAAGAAGTTTATTTCATAATTTTACCCTTATACATGTTTATAGTATTTGAAGTAAATAAGATCTCTCTGATGTTATAAATTGAATAATCAAGTTCAAAATAGATTCATTGCTTCGAGATACCTGAGCTTTCATTGCTTGCTTGAAATCTTCCTTGACTCCTTTGTCTGCTCCTCTAGTACCAATTCTTCTTTGACCTAAATGTTGTTGAGAATTGGGTAATATATCCAATGCAATATTATTGCCTTGTTCATTCCATATAAAGCTAAGCTCTTCCAAAATATCAATATGTACAATATATGCAGAAAACAAATGATAGTGAAAGACTCCTTTTTGTTTCATAACATCTAATATATGAATGAAAATTGCTTCTTCTTGGGGCCAGCCTAGCTGCATTAAAACTAACATGTGACCATAACTTAAATCTGAATTATTACCTGTACTTAGTAAAATTCTTATTAATAAAGTACAAAAAAAGTGCATTATCGATAACTTTGTTAATGGTAAAAAATGTAAGTGTCTTGCTTTACCACCAGTGACCAGTTCTGTTTCTAAAGCTCCTTCTGTATGTGGTAACTGTGGCAATGCTAACAATATATTTTCAACACAGGCAGCATACTTTTTCTGAAAGTAATTAATAGATGCTCTAATAATACAAGATGATAAGTTGTTTGAAGTTGCGGGAGGCATTGCTTCTTCATGTCGTCCTCTGTATAATGCTAATTCATCTACAAATCCTTCAGACCATGGTTTTGCATGAAGTTGGTTTGCTAACTTGGCAAACTCTCGTGATATTACTTCATTACTATGTAATAACTCCCAACAATTTGCTGCTGCTTGAAATTGCCGAGCTGAAACTCCAGTAACTTCTATGTTATCACCTTTTCTTCTTTTTGGTGGAGGCAAATCAGGATCAGACAGAGCTTCTATCAATATATGGTTTCCTCTCAATGACTTCTGCTCATAATGAGATCTCAAGAAAAATGTTGTTCCACAATATAGAAGCTGACGACAATCCTCACAATTTCTTAATGTTAACAATTTTTGAAAGTATGTTTCTTTGTTCAAGCTATTATTATAATTGACTAAGAAAGAGTCCCAACCAAGTTGCCTCCCCAACAAATCCAACACACCATATAGTCTCTGCCATGGGTCTGTAATATCATGCTCAACTTCATCATAAATGTAAGAGTTGTAAAAATCCATGGCTTTGATCAATAATCTTTGGAGAAGTCGAGGTGATTCAAGTGAACTCAACAATGGTAAAGTATCAACAACTAGCAAACGTGCATATCGATTATCATAGAAAAATTTATCAGTATTTATCAGTGTTTTCACTAAGCTGTCTACCCCTAATTGTGGGAATTTCTTCAATAAAAGTACCAATAAACGACAGTGCTCCATAGTATCGTCACTATTTTCGACACTGGTTTTTAAAATTGTCAATTGGATTTCAGGGACAATCTTATCAAACATTAGGCTTAAAAAACTGCTTTCCGGCGACCTTAGCGCATTTGCTATTGCTGATATTTCAGGTATTAATTCTGAAAGATTTTGTCTCGACATCATTAGTGAGGTGAAACACTCTGCCGCTTCTTGAACGTTTCCTGACTGTTTCTCCATCTGATAGGCTTCAAACTGAATTTTAAAGTTCGTGGGAAAAAGTGTCTTGGCTGTCAACATCCATGCCTTTGCATAGTGTAAATTTATTTTTTGAGCTTCTTTAGCCCGCATGATAATGTAATTTTCATCGCTCAGGGCAGCTTCGATTCCGGGCATTTTAAAAATTGTAAATACAAGGTTTGTAGGTTAAGTACCGTTCGGCAGAAGAAACACTATTGACTATTTTTTCAATTCAATTTGTTTAAAATACAGTTACATATTCTTGATCATGCCATACAATCTATACTAGATTTCCGTCTGAAATTTCCATTTAAAATACTCTTGTCTCTTTGGTCTTGATAGAAAAATACAAAGAATAGGTAATATGAAAAAGAGAAGAAGATTCAATCTCAATTTTTTTTTTGTTTTTTTCTTGGTTAAGTTCTCCCTTTTCAGGGAAGGCAAGGGGAATAATGCCCATACAGCCTAGTCTTAAGTTAAATTATTCTATTTTTCTTTTTACATTAGAATGTCGGTGTGACGCATTCTAATGTTTCTTGAAGTGTTTGGCACGAAATGTATCGAGCTAGCTTTTTCAATAAGCTTCTGTGAGGTAGTCAATACTACAATAAAATTCTCACTTCCACTTGACCGGAATAGCGTATATTTTGACGATTCTACTAATTCTTCAGTTACGCAGACAGTTGTAACACAAAATCACACCAATTTTATTTCACAATATCCACTATGAACGAATTTAAGAATAATTAAAATAAGACGCCAACCACACTCGATGAAATCCCGCCAAAAAACTGCGTTTTTTTTTACCGGCCCTGACTTCTGTTGGCTTCAGCCGTATCCGTTCGAGGTTGTTACTTAAGCTAATAAATAGTGCGTTAAAAATGCCTAATTAATGCAATAATAAAAAAAAACTCTTTAGTTTATAGGATATAATAACTGGTTTCATGGTGTAAGCTGGCGTAATGATCAAGGTAGCGTACACCAGGCAATTCTCGAAAACGGCTTATTGTTATGCAACCAATTTTCACAGAAAATAATGCTCTAATAGTGCCCACACAATTCAAAATTCCACAATCATAGCTTATAAGGAAAAACAGATATAGAACAAGACTTCTAAATAACTTTTGGAGCTGGCGTCATGGTAGCGTACCCCAAATAATAAATGTGGAAAGCGAACTTCTCTTTTTACACGTTTGAATAGTGCGTGAAATTCTGCTTCTGGTAATATAAAATAGAATTCGCAGCGGAATAAAAAAAACTGAAGTCATTAAAATACAGTCGCGAAGAATTTTTTTTAAGCTCAAATTGACACGTGTATGGAAGATATAGACGGGGAGCAACAACGAATGCAAATTGATATTCTAGCTTTCTATTGCTTTGATCCATTGCACCATCAATCTTCCGAACGAGTCTAATTCCACATCCGGAAAAACACCCGCAAACTTTAAATGTAACCGCCACCGTGCTTGACTATACTCCTTGTGTATTTATAATTAAAAGCATTGTTAAAGCTAACATTTCCATCGGAATTTACCATATTTATTTTTGGTTCATTTGAAAATAACACTTTTTTCCATTCTCGTACCGTCCAATTAACATATTTTTTAGTGAATAATAATCGCTTCTATCGGTGTTGCTTGGTAAGAAGTGGTACACTAATTTTCGGCGTATCAGTCTTGACGAGATGTTTCTCGGGTCATCAGACGAAAAAACTTTATTTTTAATCTGGTTGGCGTCTTTGCTTGGGATTTTTTTAACACGAACGATTAGCGTATCTTCTTTGGGAGAGGTTTTTCTTGGCCAGGCCTTTCTAAGAACATTTTCAACAGTTCCATGTGTTTTATAATGATCAATTGCATTATAAGCTTTCTTAACAGAACAATTTAAATGCTCAGCTATTCTTTTGATCTATATGTAAATTTACAATTATTTGCCTAGTTGACGCGTCACAACTTTTATTTTTGCCCATTTTGAACAAAATAAAATTCAGAATAAAATTTTGAATTGCCGCCAAAATAAAAAAAAAGGCCAAGTAATAAAAGTGATCTTACATTACAACCGTCCGCGCAATTATAGAATTAGTGGAATATTTAAAATAAACGCTATTCCGGTCAAGTGGACGTGAGAACTTTATAATAGTGTTGACTACCTCACAGAAGCTTATTAGAAAAGCCAACTCGATACATTTCGTGCCAAACGTGCAGAAACATTAGAAAGCACCATACCGACATGCTAAAGTTAAAAAAATAAGATTAATAAATCTTTACACTAGGCTGTATAAGTATTATTTCCTTTGCCTTCCCTAAAAAGGGAGAATCATAAAAAAAAGAAAAAAATGTCAATAAAATACTTCGTAGGCTTAATTCATCCGTTTCTAACTATTGAAATGAATTATTTGTTTAATAAAAATAATGACATAGATTACTATGATGATTATTATTATGCTTTTGCGTATGCACCTGACCATATTTTGGAAAACATATTTTCTTACTTGAACCATAAAGATCTTCGAAACTGTTCTTTAGTTTGTAAGAATTGGTACAAGGTGCTCAGTGATGAAAATAATGATGTTTGGCGGATACATTGTTTAAAAAGACTACCTGAAGAAGTAATGAAGTCAGATCTTCTTTCGACAGTGACGACATACAAATCAAAATTGAGAGCATTCTATCATGCTTGGAATCCACATGATTGTTCACGAAATATATATGTTAAACCCAATGGTTTTACTTTACATAGGTATGCAGTTTTAAGCAAATAGCGCTTTTAGACTTTGCTTGTTGAGATGGCTTGGTATTAAAGAAATTATCAAGATTATAATAAAAATGTCGCCAACATGGCTTATTCATATACTGGAATACAATTGTCTCCTAAAACCTCTTCCTTTCAATCCTATAGAAATCCTGTTGCGCAAAGTACAGACGCATGCAGAGCAAAAATTGGTTTTCGCCAAGGTCGCCATGCATGGGAGGTTATTTGGGAAGGACCTTTAGGCACTGTGGCAGTTGTTGGTATATCAACCAAAGAAGCCTCTTTGCAATGTCAAGGATATGTTGGATTACTTGGATCTGATGAGCAAAGCTGGGGATGGAATTTAGTAGATAACAATTTACTACACAATGGTGATACTCAAGGACATTATCCACTACTCAATAACTGTCCAAAATATCAAGTAAGCTTTTAAAGACGAGTTTTTGATCAGGAATGGGCAAACTACGAAATCCCTCTAATAGTTGAACTCTGCCTACAACCATGAAACAAAAATCAAATTCAGGGACTTATTTACCATGTGGCAGCGCTGCAGGTTGCATGAGTGTAATTTGTTATACATTTGATTTACTCGTTCTGGGGGGATGCAATTTGTAGCTTGCTATAGATAGGAAAATGTTTGCCTATCCCTGGTCTGTTGTTTCTTATTGTAATCTAAAAAGAACTATACCATAGTCTCATTCATGACAATATTATGAACGACTAAAATTTGTAATGGTTTTAAATACATGTACGTGAATATCTTAACATATAAAGTTCTGGAGTTTTGCATACTTTGTTCAGGTAGGAGAGCGTATAAGAGTCATCCTGGATTGTGAAGATAAAACACTATCATTTGAAAGAAATTATGAATTCTTAGGAGTTGCATTTCGAGGTATGTGGTTCAGCACCTTGTTACAGACAAAATAAGTTATTACATTAAATTAAGGAAAAATAATGATCATCTGGTTATTTCTTCATTAATTATTTGGAGACAATAATCTTTTTCTTTAATAATTTAATTCAACAAAATAATTTCAATAAAAACAATTTATTATGTTATTTATGAAATTTATTGACATTGTTTTCTTACTTTTTAGGGCTACCAAATAAAAAGTTATATCCAACAGTATCTGCAGTGTATGGAAATACTGAAGTTTCAATGGTTTACTTGGGACCTCCACTCGATGGCTGATAGTTAGTTCATAGGTATACAATTTTAATCTAGTCCAAATGTTATTATATTGTGATATACTACCAATACTTTGTAATATTTGTAAAATTAAATAAGTTTTTTTAGTTTATTTTGGTTGTTATAAAATATTATGTTTTATTGTTATGGTTTAATATGGTGTCCCAGGCTATAAAAGCAATACTTTCTTTATAATTTACTTGTGCAAACCGCCTATTCTTTTTTTTACTCTAATAATTATCAAAATATAATAATCAAGGGAGAGACATGATTTATACAGAAAAAATAAGCAAGAACAGATTATTATCTATCAAATTAATGTAGGTATCAAAGTTTAAACTTGTGAGAGAGCTTAAGCTCTCCAGTCCTCCAAATTGTAAGATAAGTGATCAACTCAAAGACCCGATATCTTCTCTTCTAACTCTATCTTTCAGATACCTACTTCGCAAATATAAAAAGAAAAACTCTTTTCTTATTGAGAGACGAGTAATAATAAATTTGGAATCTGCGTTAATTTGGAAGGCTAAAGCTTAGCAGGCGCGTGAAGCATGCTATCCATACAATATATATATATATATATACGCGAAGGTGTCTCTGTCTGTCTGTTAGCTCTTCACCCTTCAACCGCTGAACTGCTTTATCTGAAATTTATAATTGAGATAGTTTGCGGCCCAGGAAAGGACATATTAATAGTTTTTATACTAAAAATAAATTAGCCTTTAAGTGGGTTTAAGTTTATAGGAAGCTATTTTTTTCACTAGTTCCTAATATAGTCCGGGAGGCAGTGGCTATTGTGATTAGTGTTTTTATGCCGATCTTTACTTCAGAATACTAGTGAAGAAGCTGTTCCTAATAACGAAAGTGAAGGTCAGCTGACGCACCTGCGGGGGCGCTTGCAATGAGACCCCATAGAACACGTAAAAAAAAATCTGAAAAATATTTTATACCGCATGAATTTTTTTCATGTCTTATTGACATTGATTACAATTAAAAGAAAGTAGTCAGCTGCACGACTGAGGGTGGATTATGCGTCAGCTGAGCGTGCGAACTAGCCCAAAAAAAAAATATATATTTTAGGCCGATTGAAATTTTTTTACATGTTCTTAGACATTTACAGAAACTTGATATTGATAATCAGCTACATATATAGTGGGGCGGAAACACGTCAGCCAGAGCAGGAATGTATGACTGCGCGCATATATCTCTATGACTCGCGGAATTTTCAATGCTCCAACTGACGCCTTTCCCCCCAACGGACAATCAGCTGACGAATATTTTCTTGTATCTATATATATTAACACTATAATATTTATACATTTCATGTTGTCTTTTAACAATTTACCGAAGATTTACCTTACAGCTTATTGTCTTCCGTACACAGGTATTTTATACCTGCGTTCCTGCGTCCCTCTCCCCAAAAGGGACAGCTGCGATTCGGCTTTGTTCGTTAATCCCATGGAGCACCCCCACTAGAGTCCGCATACAAGGCAAGCGCTTACGCCAACCTTAAGTAGTATTTTACCTATGCGTGAGGCACGCCCACAGACGTCGCGATACATTACATCATTTCATTTTGGTAACCGAGCGTCGGTCGAACTGCTTCTCTCGTTTTCGTGTTAAAAAATTGTAAAAAATGCCGTACTATGAAATTCAATTATGTGGAAAGTGGAGTAAAACTTCCAGTCTTCAAAAATATGGTATTACTTTTCACCGGTAAGTTTAAATACATTACAAAAAGACAAAAATACTCTTATATTAAATTGCTGTTAATTGTATTTATTTTTTGGTGAACGCGTTGATGTCTTTGTACATTGTCCCTTTCTCGCATGCGCTGCATCATATATGCTATCCCGGTCTCACACGGGCATTTGTATTGCTAGTGACGCAGACGCAGCTCATGTCTCAACCCGTAATTTTATCGATAAGTTTGTCAGCTATGGAAATGGAAAAAATAAATAAAAAATATTTATTTCATTGTATACAATAACAGATGTCATGAGTATACTACCCACCTTTGGAGCCATGCTCACCGTTCCATGCCAACTGACCTGTTGCCAACTGAGTATGGATGGGAAGAATCTGGTGAAAAATATCATTTTAAATGGTTTATGGGTGATCAATTGCCAGTATCCATCACTAGCATCACTAATCTCGACATGAACCCACATGGTATGAAAAAAATTATCTTCTTTTGATTTCTGGCAAATAATATTTATCTACATGATTTTGTTAAATAATTGATTGATATTTTTACAGAGGACGACGAAACCGAGAACGATGGAGTGTGTGACATAAGCATCGATAATTGTGATGACGGCAGTGATGCAAACGATGATGATTCATAAAAAAATATTTGTATGATGTATATTAAGATTTTGATGTTAATTGTAATAAAAATAATCGAATAAAATTACGTTTGTAGGCTCTTGGATAAATAAAATTGACCGATATGACTCTAAATTCGTGTAATTCATTTACCGAGAACACAACAAAGGATTCTATCGTTAAATACAACAAATACAACAAACATTTCGTGTGAGCTGTGTGGAAAGAAAAACGGCCGTGTGCCACTCATTGAATGCGTCGCGTGAACTGACTTTGCGCGCGTCGTACATGTCGCGGCAAAGATATAATGTCGGTAAAGGTGCCATGCACGGTGGCGTGTTTGGTTCCACGCACTACATACTCCCTCTTTTGATCAGATAGAGCGTCCTCGCATCTGGTCAAACAAAATTACACAGAGAGACATAAGTAATAATAATAAAATAGCAAAAATGACACAAAATTAAGTTTTACGCGGTCTACCACGGCGGCGTTTTGGAATTACAGGTTCTGGAATCTCAAGACATTCCCCATTGCGAGCGTGATACCTTTTAAAATCGGAAATGTGATACTTTCCAACGATTTCTTCGCGCTTCTCGGGAAATGCCAAAAGGTAAGTTGTGGGACTGATTTTACTTATTACTATATATGGACCATCTCGTTTAGGTGTGAATTTGGAGCTTACCCCTTTTGCAGCATTGCTGAGAACGTGCGTCTTCATCAATACCAAGTCACCGACGGCGAGTTCATCTGGTCTGCGGGTTTGATCCTTGAGTGCCTTGCGGAGATCCTGCTGACGATGCGATGCACTCTTTACTATTGTTAAGTGTATCCGCGAGCTTCAGAAGATACGGAGTAATCTGAGGAACATAATTTTCAGCTTCGATTACTGCTCGGATGCCACTGTGCGCAGCTATCGGCGAACGGAGCTCTCGTCCGAAAGTAAGGTAAGCTGGTGTCTGACCTGTAGCTTTCGGAATTGACGTATTCATGGCAAAACGTATTGACGGAAGAGCTTCAAGCCACTGATGATGATGACCCTCAACAAGGATAGCTAACTGAGTCTTCAAGTCCCTATTTTTTCTTTCAACGGGGTTAGCTTCTGGGTGGTAGAGTGGTATTAAGTTTTGTCGTACCCCTAGGGTAAACATAGCATGCTGCATGATGTCAGCAACGAATTGAACTTCATTGTCAGAGATCACACGTCTAGGTAAACCAAAACGTAAAAAAAATTCTTCGATAAGTAGCTTCGCACATGCTTCAGCAGTAGCTTCTACGAGTGCAAACAGCTCTACCCACTTGCTAGTGGTATCTTCCACGATAAGCACCCATCGCTCTCCATCAGGTCCTTTGGGAAGGCGGCCAAACAAGTCCACAGCTAGGATCTCGAAGCGTTTAGCTGGAAACGGTGTCTGCAATAGCCCTGCTGGTTTCATATTACTGGGTTTATATCGTTGGCATTCTATGCATGATTTCACATACTCTGTTATGTAGCGGCGCATTCCAGGAAAGTAAAATCTTTCAGCAATGCGATGGAAAGTCTTGTCAATCCCGCCATGACCGGCAGTAGCAGCGTCGTGACACTCCACCATTACCTGCTTACGTCGATTTTCAGGTATGACGAGTTGCTGTTCTTCTGTATCTGCGTAACGGTATAGTATTCCGTTATTTAAATAATAGCCCCTCTCGGACCATCTTGTCGACTCGACTTCATCTGCTCCTTCTAATCCTATTATGACTTTACCTATTTCAGGGTCGGCGAGCTGTTCTTCACGCAGAGCGGGAGCTTCCCAGTGTGGGGTATCAACAATCACTGTACATACACCACATGTTTCTGTAGCTTCATCGTCACATGGAGGACGACTGAGTGAGTCAGCGAGAACATTGACTTTTCCAGGTGTGTAGTCTATATGTAAGTCATACGATTGAAGTTTCATAGCCCACCGTATGAGACGGCCACTAGGAGACCTCAATGTAAACAGCCACTTTAAAGGTTGGTGATCACTACGAACCCGAACAGGATGACCGTCGATGTAACCTCTGAATTTCTCCACCGCCCATACCACCGCCAACGCCTTGCGCTCGGTAGTCGAATAGTTCCGCTCCGCTGATGTTAGAAGACGGCTAGCGTAGGCGATCGGACGCTCGGCGTGCGGCGACTCCCCCTGGAGTAGCGCTGCACCTAGCGCATAATTACTGGCGTCTGTTCTGAGAATAAATGGACAGTTATAGTCTGGCTGTATTAATATAGGAGCTGATGTAAGCAATATCTTTAATTGATTATAGGCAGCCTCTTGAGCTTCATCCCACTTCCATAACTGATCTTTCCTAGTTAGCATAGTCAAGGGTTGAGCGACTTGCGAAAACTTAGGAATAAACTTCCTAAACCAGGAACATGATTGTAAGAAGGACTTCAAATGCTTCACAGTCATCGGTTTCCTCATGTTACATATGGCACTTATTTTGTCGGGATCTGGTTTGACTCCCTGTGGCGTGATTACATGGCCCAGGTACTTGACACTTTCTCTTGCAAAGATGCATTTGTCTCTATTAGCATAGAGGTTATAGACACGTAAACGGTCAAAGACAGCTCTCAAGTCCTGAAGGTGCTTTGAGTGAGATTCTGACAGTATAATCAGGTCATCGATGCACCTTAGTATCGTTATTCCCTGTAAAGCAGCTCCCGACCTGAATCTGTCAACCAAACGTTGAAAAGTAGCCGGTCCGTTACGGACACCAAACGGCATTCTTTTAAAAGGATGACTTCCGAAGTGACAGACAAAAGCCGTCTTGTCTCTGTCCTCTTCACGTACTACTACCTGCCAGTAGCTGGATTTAAGGTCTATAGTACTCATGAAACAGCTCTTACCCGTATATTGAAGAAGGTCATCAATGACCGGTAGAGGATATGCGTCACTTTTAGAAACAGCATTAAGTTTTCGGTAGTCCACGCAGAACCGATATGACCCATCCTTTTTGGGCACGAGGAGAGCTGGTGCAGCCCACGGTGACTCGCACTCCTCGATGATGTCCCTCTGGAGCATGTCCTCCAGCTCAGCCTTCATCACAGCCTTCTTCGCAGGTGTGAGGCGATACGGTGGCACTGCAATCGGTGGGTGCTCGCCAGTGTCGATGCGGTGCTCAGCAAATGGAGTCGGTCCTCCCCCTTCTTGAAAAATGTCATCATATTCCTGTAAAAGATCAGCTAGTTCATTTCTCTCTAATGGTGACAACATAGTCCCTTCATCAGTACGCAATATCTCCGTAGAAGCGCATTCTAAAATATCACGTGAAGACTCACAACGCATGTGGTGAATGACTTGAGGTTGGTCTACTAAGTACCAACTATTGTCAACTATGTTAATAATAATACCAGCTTTACGCAAAAAATCTATACCCAAAAGAGTGTCATTGTTATTTGCCTCTGGAAAAATCACAAAACTGATTGGCACTATCTTATTCTTTAACTTAACATTCACATCTGCAAGTTAAACATTTACACTACGTGCCACGCCATCAGCAAGTTTGACAGTCATAATACTGTATTGAAATGGATGATTCGATTTACAAAGCAATTTATGAAGACTACAGCCCGCAACACTACGCTTGGCTGCAGTATCGACAAGACCGGTGCCACTGTATCCACAAATCTCAATATCTAAGATGGGGCGACCATCCGCACAAACATCTACAACAGAGTTAACATTATGCATAGTAATGCACGAAAAATCAGCCACTGCGTTATCATAACAATTGGAATCATTCTGATTATCAGTTATAACATCACATGAATAAAACGAGTCTTTACATTTTCCACAATTTGACCGAATAACACCCTTAGCGCCACATCCGTAACATAAATAAAATTGACCGATATGACTCTAAATTCGTGTAATTCATTTACCGAGAACACAACAAAGGTTTCTATCGTTAAATACAACAAATACAACAAACATTTCGTGCGAGCTGTGTGGAAAGAAAAACGGCCGTGTGCCACTCATTGAATGCGTCGCGTGAACTGGCTTTACGCGCGTCGTACATGTCGCGGCAAAGACATAATGTCGGTAAAGGTGCCATGCACGGTGGCGTGTTTCGTTCCACGCACTACACGTTTTAATTAATCCGAATATTACAAACTAATAGAAATCAAATTAATGATGTTACCGCTTCACTCCCATGAATCTTAGGTAAATTGTTAAAAGACGACATGTAATGTATAAATATTATAGTGTTAATATATAGATACAAGAAAATATTCGTCAGCTGATTGTCCGTTGGGGGGAAAGGCGTCAGTCGGAGCATTGAAAATTCCGCGAGTCATAGAGATATATGCGCGCAGTCATACATTCCTGCTCTAGCTGACGTGTTTCCGCCCCACTATATATGTAGCTAATTATCAATATCAAGTTTCTGTAAATGTCTAAAATCATGTAAAAAAATTTCAATCGGCCTAAAATATTTTTTTTTGGCTAGTTCGCACGCTCAGCTGACGCATAATCCACCCTCAGTCGTGCAGCTGACTACTTTCTTTTAATTGTAATCAATGTCAATAAGACATGAAAAAAAATTCATGCGGTATAAAATATTTTTCAGATTTTTTTTTTAACGTATTCCGCAGCTTCCCAATCTCGCATCCACCGCAACTGGACCTGCTGACGATCGATTTCGTCATAAGCCACATGCATTCTGTTTTCTATATTAACATCAGCCGGCATAAAATGACTTGTTTAAAAAGCCGCTGCCTCCTGGACTAATATGAGGGTCGCGTCCCGCATGGGATGCAAGCAAACACTTACTTCAGATGTGCCGATGACGAGACGGCACGTGTAAAGCCCTCAGGCCTACTACTACGCTTTCGCTTCGTATTGGCCGTGCCCACATAACAAAATGACTCCTTTTTTCTGTTCCGTGCTCTCCTAGATAAGACTTATTAGTCGACGTTACCAGTTGATGTGCCTGTGATTGGCCTGAAACATCATTTTTTTACTGTCATCGACGGCTACCACGAAGCAAATGGGAAGTAACTAACTTGCGACTGGATGCTACACAATCGTTTGACAAAAGTAAACTAAAGGACTAAAATTTTCGAAAAAAAAATAGAGTGTATATTTAAACAAAAAGGTAACTAGGTACTTACTTCATCATCATCATCATCAACCCATGTTCGTCCACTGCTGGACATACGTCTCCTCTAATGCACGCCACTGCTCCCGATTTTGTGCTACGCTCATCCAGCCCACTCCAGCCAGCCTACGAATATCATCATCCCATCGTGTCTCAGGGCTTCCTACACTACTGCTACTACTACTGGTCACATTAGCCGCAGAACTGATGGCCGTTGGAGCCGGAAAGTTCTTGAGTGGAGACCACGACTCGGTAAACGTAGTGTAGGATTACTTACTTATTTTTAGGTATATATTGGGGGCACTCTAACCTAATAAGTACGTAAGTAGATCTTATATACTTACTTTGTGTAATAGCACTTTATAATAAACATGTTAATACTGTGAATAATATTTAGTACGTTTTTTATTATCTTGTAATTAATTTTTACAAAATCATTTCCTTTGTAACGTAACAAGCACGTTAAATATGTATCTACCTAGTTAGTTATGTAAACCAAGAAGGACACGATTGTGAAAATAAAAACGTATTTTCAAATTCATGTCTTACCATTTTTGTAATAAATGAGTTTATTATTATTTTTCGTTATTTAATGAACTTACCACACCGCATTTTCGATCCGCCGAAACCAGATCCAAAAGTTGTAGCAAGCTGTAACTTGGATCTGGTGTTTGCTACCAAGAAGTTTCCCACGCTCATTCATTCTGTTTCCTGCACCCTAACTTTAGTTTTCGTAGTTTATTTTTAAAAATTGTGCGCGTCCTCCCTCCCTCCCCTTGAGTACCTATAGGAGAGCAAACCCTAGTTTTGGGAAATTCTATGTTTTCAGTTTAGGCCTCGAATTCCACAGTTTTTTAGAAGGTGCTGGCGCCATCTATTTTATTTGCTGCGAGTCCGTATCCGTGTACTAGCCAGCTTCAGCGAGACCTATGTGCGATAAAAAGATTGGTGAACATTTTACTATGAGTAAAGTAAATGTTTACAGTAGTAAAGTAAATGTGACAGGAAAACCACTAAAAATCATCACAAGCGCGTCAGAATTACACAAGGAGGGCAAACTTGCTTGCACCTTGTAAAGTACTACCTACGGGTTGATCTCAGATTGTCTAGGTCGAAGTGTGACTAGGATTACCAACTTTTTTCTATCAAATATAGTATTTTCGAAGCTGTTACCTCTAAAAATATAGTAGATGGCAAAAGGATGGAAAAAAATATAGTATGTGGTTAAAATATCTAGTTACTTTATTTTTTAAAAATGAATAGGTATATTTTGTTTGTCCATGCCTTTATAATTATTTTTTTAATTTTTAAGAACGCTTTTTACTGGCAGAAATCTGCTTTAAGCAAAATATAGTAGTTTCGCCTACTACCTATATATTTTTCTTAGAAATATAGTATTTGATCCCATATTATAATACAATACTATATTAATATGAGTTATTTACGGGATTGTTACCATGTACTTTGTTTTTAGCGAGTTTCCGATATTTCGGCACTGTTGCAAGCGCCATGATCACGGAGTAATTGAAGTAATTGCGGGTACGCTGTTATTGGCAGACATATCGGTCTACCCTCCGACGAAGTCTTTTATTGCGTTCGATACCCGTACCACGGTAATATTATCTATACAGTATTGTGACTCCGTCCTGTCCTTGAAATAAATGCCTACGGCCGAGCGCTGCGTTAGCACGCGGTAGGGCCGCCCGCCTACAGTATTTTATGTAGTTTTGTTTTTAACGCGAGTGTAGGTAGATTACTCGTTTGTCTCTTTTTTCATCCTAAGCACTTATTTATATATTATTCCAGATATTTTGCCCGATGGAAAATCGAAATACCTAAATATTAGAAACAAATTACGTACTAGTAGATAGGTATATAAAAAATATTCTATAAAGGTAAGACAACTTTCCAATATTTCAGGTAATTTAAAAAATGATATCTCTGGGTCTGTATTGAAGAGTTCAAGCAACCAAAAACAGCAATTGTGCTGTACGATATTGATCGTCGTTTGTTCTTTTCCATACTGAATTATGTAGGTATCTAGTCAATTCAATCAAATATTTACAATACAAAACGCACGTTTAAGCACGGCTAACTGCATAAAAAACAATTCACACCGTTCGGTCGTCGTTGCGGCGCGGCGGCGCATGCGCGACTGGGTGCCCGCCGAGAGCCCTTCGAACTCGAGTGGCGTAGGTATGACTTGCTTTCCGACCGTTTGTATGAAGATAGAATACTGTATGATATTATTACCGTGCCCGTACCACTGTTCACATTCTCACAATTCACTCGAAACTGTTCTCGACACACAACACTTACAGTATTGGATCGCGACACGACACTTTTTTGATTATTTCCGGTTTTACACATACGAACTACAGGATTCCAGACACTCGACAATTTAAACCCGTCCTCACGATTGAAATTTTTATGTTTTGTTATTTCAATCGCTTCCCTGACCAATCTTGGTATGTAGTGGCGTTCTGTCGAGATAATCTGTGGGTTATGAAACTCCATCCAGTGGTTAGGACCAGAATCAATCAAAATGGTCCGCGATGGCTGATTTCTGCGTATCGTTGTTCTTGATTGCTTTTATGTTTTCCCTCATTCGGCATGATACTGTTCGCTTTGTTTGGCCAATATACGAACTGCCACAGCTGCAATCGATCTTATAGACACCAGGTTTCTCCAAGGGGAAGTTGTCTTTAGGAGACCGTAGGTATTGTGAACAGGAGTGAAGACAGTGTTTAGTAAGTACTTATTCAGTATGTTTGAGATCTTGTCAAGTTGTCAGTCATTCCTTTAACGTATGACAAATAAACAGGTTGTCTGTCTACTCTGTGTCTGGTGTCTTAGTTTGTGTCTAGATGGAAAATGTCCCTGGTATCCATTACTCTGTAAGACTAAACTAAGCAAGGTACATGGTAACAATCCCGTAAATAACTTATATAACTATAATCAGAGGCGGCGTAAGGCGTAGGCGACGTGGGCCACCGCCTACGGCCTCGGGATACAAGGGGCCTCGCTACATACATATACATTCTACCCTTTATTAAGGGCTACGGATGGTGGGAGTAAGTAGGTATTTCACAAGGTGCAAATTATGTCCCCTTACGTTATCCTTTTTTTCGGGAGAATGCTTTACGCATACCCGGCCACTTAGTGTATATGGTGATAGGGTTCTGTGGGGTCTTCACACTGGCCTACCCACTTGTCTTGGGCATTTGTTTGAAATTAGTCGGATTCGCAAAAGGACGGATTCTCACTTCGCCGGATCCAGTTCAGTAATATGAAGAAATACTTAAAAATATATAAGGAACCGGCAGAGCCATCTATTAGAGGACGGTGGTACTAACCATAACACAGTCCTCTCGCCCACAGACAACGCCCGTAGACTGCCTCTACGGCTAAATAGCGGCGTAAGGCCGGCACGATATAGCGATAATTATTATTATAATATAATATATAATAATAATAATCATTTATTCATAACCCTCAACATTTTACATTTAAAGTATTAAGCTAATAAAGTCTACGGGTATTTATATAAAAGTCTGAAGAAATGGACCCCTAACCCAGAAACTAGTAAAAACTATAATTATCAGGGTTAGTGATTCCTCGGTCGACATATTACAAAAATATTTAATTTTAGAGCAGCCCAATAGGTTTGACTACAGCTGTTGATGTGAGTAATCAACTAACGAAACAAAACAATTTATCAAATATTGATTAAGTGTGAGCGTACAAGTGTGAATGAAATTATATTGGTGGTGTGTTTGTGTTTGTGTATGTGTGTGAGTGTGTGTTTGAGTGTGTGTGTTTGTGTGTGTGTTTGTCTTTCGTGTTTTGTCTATTATCCATAACTGTTTCTTATTTTAATAGATTTTCTGTGTCTGAATAGTTTTGCTTCAAAAGATAAGCAGAGGTGTTTTTCTTCACTTCATACATATTTTGGGTATAAATGGAGATAAACTTTTGCATCTTATTGTACAAGGCTGAAGAAAGAGCATCATATTGACGTGACGCGAAAATTGTTTTATACCTAGCGGGAGGACATACATGGACTGCGGCGCGTCGCCGTG